AATGCGGCTAAAATATTCAACTCACTCACTCAGAACATGCGTGACCTCAAGTGGTAAGTATGCGTGGGGATTTGAATCAGACCGTTTCGTAGATGCTGCAGCTATGCGTGTTGAGGCGCAAATCCAGTTTACTGCGTGTTTCTCCAAAGCACCGACAATCGAGGATTTCATGTATGTCTAGTGTATGACTGTAACTTCAAATGTCACGAATTCAGACATGACCTTTTCGTACCCTATACTTTGCAATGAAAGACGGGTAATGTCAAGCTTGTTGTATGTCAGTTTCAGGATCGTAGTAAGATTAACAACTACGTCTTTGAAACAACTCCCTCGTCATTATTTTTATTTTGATATACGGCACAATGTGCTTAATGGGTGCCTTTATTTACTTCAACTTCACTCCAGTAGACTTGTGATTGGTCAAGCTCACACATTAACGATCAGATACATATAAGAAAAAACGCAATACTTCTTTTTAAAACTCTCAACTTTATTACGCATTAGGGAAAGTTTAATCTGTGTCACATGGTGAGGGTGTTAGTTTATCATATACAATGGATTGGACTAACATGTAGGATCTGTTTCAAGGTGAAGTGTGATTATTATTATTATTTCACTGTGTATATTGATAATGGTGGGGGAAAAGAATTGGAACTAAAGATCGGGAGCCCCACGCGCCCAATTTTGCATAAAGTTTTGCGTAAAGATTATTACGTCTTTGAAATATATATATTTATATTAAGGAGATCCTACCCGTGAAGGTCCGTGTTAGAATTGATCTTCAGTAACCCATGCTTGTCGTAAGAGGCGACTAACGGGATCGGGTGGTCAGGCTCGCTGGCTTGGTTGACACAAGTCATCGTATCCCAATTGTGTAGATCGATGCCCTTGCTGTTGATCACTGGATTGTCTGGTCCAGACTCGATTATTTACAGACCGCCGCCATGTAGCTGGAATGTTGCTGGGTGCGGCGTAAAACTAAACTCATTCACTCACTCACTAAGGAAAACCCATTAATTCCTATAACAGACCAGTCTACTAACATGAAGTTTTTAAATGGAAATAAATGAGGGAATGTGCAGTTGTAGTTCTCAATTTCGATTGGCATATGGGGCGGTGGGGTAGCCGAGTGGTTAAGGTGTTCGCTCGTCACGCTGAAGACGCGGGTTCGAATTCCCTCATGGCTGCAATGTATGAAGCCCATTTATTGCTAAAACCGGCGTAAAACCCAACTCACTCCCTCCATTGGCATATTGCAGTTGGTGATCTTAAGGAGAAGCCATTTGAACACTCTCGCTCTATCTTGGCGATCTGGGACGCCGTCAGTGTACCTGCATCTCTTACTCCAGTACTATAGGTATCAGTATTCATTGCTTGCAGCTTTTGTCGCAGGGAAGTGTATAAAACACCAACAAAGATCAAATTAATAATTTGAACCTTTAAAAGACTGATTTATTCTCTTTCAGACTATATAAAGTGATAAATCCCTAATACTATCAGTTTTCAGATCTGTCTGTTTTTCCTGTCACAAAAACGCAGCTGATTGTCTGCCGTCCAGGGTTAATGTATCCAGGTAAGCCTACGCGTCCTGAAGGCGTAATCAACGTTCAGGTGAGAAATAAGCAATGAAGGAAAGACTGCTGTCACCCTGGCCCATCTCCTGTTTGATACCGCGGCAGTAAGCGACGACAATGTTAGGTGCCAAACTGCCCCACCAGCCTTTCAGTGGCGATGCCGAACTGCTTGATAGTCCTACTAACGACATGTAAGGGTGATTGCGATAAGGATCGACGGCTTTGTAGTGATTTTGAGATTAATATAAACCCATTTGCCTTGGGTACCCTGTTCATGCCAATGTGGAGGATTAACTTCGTTAGTGACTCGTTACGATTAAATGTATACACACACGTGTCTATCAATAAACGGTAATTGTGATTTGAACGTGCATTGGACGTGCTCTCTGTTCTCAGGCCATTGACAGTCATTATTTAATGAGACAACGAGTGTGTTTTTTTGTTTCCTAACGTACAATATTGTCCTTTAATCCATACTCTACCTACCACCTCTCCATACGATATACGATATATGTCTAATATAATATCCATATTTGGTCTGTAGGACGTGTATACTTATTTTACTGTTTTTGGAAGGACACAAACCTTCGGTGTTCGATGTCTATCTGTCATGGGCTTAATGGTTGACTTACTTCATTGTAAAGTCGGGTTTGAAGTTCATATTTTTATCATTTGTAATTAAGTAATTTTATGATATATATGGAGGCTTCACCACTGACACATTCCCTCAAAATGTTCATGATCCCTAGCTTTATTTGTTCAGTGTTTCCGTTATGAAATGTGTGTAATATGAACTGTGTAATACGCCTGTATCATTCTTGGGTTCACGTCCTAAATTGTTATAGGCTCATATCACTAATGTTTGCTTCCTCAGACTATGCTATGGGAGATATATATGTTTATACCACCATTGCTTTTCTCCCCTCGTATACCCGTGAAGTTCCGGGCTAGAATATTGTCCTTCAGTAACCCATGCTTGTCGTAAGAGGCGACTAACGGGATCGGGTGGTCATGCTCGCTGACTTGGTTGACACATGTCATCGGTTCCCAATTGCGCAAATCGATCCTCATGTTGTTGATCACTGGATTGTCTGGTCCAGACTCGATTATTTACAGACCGCCGCCATATAGCTGCAATGTTGCTGAGTGCTGCGTAAAACTAAACTCACTCACTTTCATTTCTCCCCTCGTTTATATAACGGGTATTTAGATGCATACGTATTTTGTAAGCTCTCCTCACACTCATCCTGCCCTCCACCCTACCCAATACCCCCAAATATACCCGTGTGCATGTGCACCACATATATGTCCCAGAGTAACGTAGCACATGCGAATGATTCCGACAGATGCCACCGGGTGACAATTTTTGTTAATACCCGACGAACATACTGGTCAATAACTCCGACGACATAGTATGTTAACCATTTTGTGACCCAATGACTGCCATATCAGAAAACATTATTCATTTTAACTAAGTAGCAACAACAAGAGAAGAACAGAATCTGAGTAAGGGCCGAGAAGGTCATTCTTGAGTAAGTGAATCTGGTTTTACTACATTTTACACGTTATCCCACCCAACCACGGCGCGGAATACCAAGAATTGTTTAGGTATTGTTTCGCCAGTATTGGAAATCAGAACCGGGTGTGTAGAGTATGGGTAACTTTACGTATCACTGGCCCAGGCCATGTCATGTCATAACAGCGAGGGGTCGAGTACCGTTACAAGATGACCACGTTTACGTGGTGCTGTGAATATTGTGACAAACACAGCTTCAAATGCGCGCTCAGGAAAATGATTCAGGTATAGTTATAGCTATAAGACTGAAACAGATATAAAAGATGGAAGTTGAAAATAGATGTGTTTCATTCCTGATCTTTTTCATCGTTTCTCCAAGGTATTCTGTAACGCTATTCATGTAATGAAAAGACAGACAGGCTGAAAACGGTTCAAACATAGCGAAGAAACACGACTTGATTCTTAACTCATTTTTACAGCTTGATAGTGCGTCTAAATATCCTTATCTCCGCTTCCCATCCTCAGTCTAATCTGCCGTATAGGTATAGCAGTCACGATCACCTCGCGTAACCAAATGTCAGCCAGGTTTACTCAGAAAATCGTGATCAATCTCTAGAATATTCCTATCATGTTGTAAAAGTCGAGACCTGTTTGTTATATATATCATTAGTAACATTTCGATATAAGTCACTTGGAAATTCGCTCGATGATCTATATTTTCAGGAAGTCATATCTCTTGATGAAGAATTGGGTTCCTTGCTGCACATGTGTATCAGACATACACTATTGCATGCATGTGTTATTTGTTGTGTCGATATACACGAACTTTGGAAAATGTTTCGTGTTTATTAATGTATCATCTAGTAATGTTACCTACAGGTGTAAAGAAATCAAACAAACAAGCGTGTGTGGATGTTTGATTGGCATTCACGCCAACTTGACAACTCGGTGTAAAAATCTGCATGGAAATGTCATCGAAACATACAACAAGGAAGATGTAATATATAAAGTTGTATGTGTTCTTAATTCAGAGTGTATGGTTTGAGTCTATGCAAATGCTTTTTGTAAAATCACACGTATTTTGCTCCATGTAGCCTCGCAAACAAGAATATAGAATATGCGAGTCTGAAAACATTATCTTCAAATGGGACTCATGACCATTTGGCTATCCAGCTCGTGCGCAGTTCATACGGACATCGTGTTTAAATAATAACCGATATACCTTTCGCGTTGGCGAGATGATTTGGCTAATGAGCGTCCATTATTTCCTCATGTCCCTGAGTCCACTCCTCTGAAAAACAAGCTTTTCCAGATACTCCGACTCGTGCAGTGAGCGCATACACAACCAGAGCGTCAATCCGCTCATGAGAAAATTGACAGCGATAGAAATTTCATTCATAAACTCACCCGTAGTATTTACACCGCACACCGCTACTACGAGCAGCGATACCTTGTTTAGACAACTGGGATCTACAAATAGCCTACGCGATAAGTGATCGATTTCGTTATCGTGCAAAATCACCCCCAACAACAATTATATATAGCTATCATGACCTACTGGTTTCATTCCAAGGTGCTTGTGATACGACAGGATTTCCTACACGGCCGTAATGTAGATTGTAAAAACAGAATCACGCAAATACAAATCTAGGCCACTCGCTTCCTTATACAGATCATGAATAATTAATCGCGATGACGGGCACCTCCATATATGGGCATGTTGTTGAATATTGATAGAGGGATTTGCATAATAATTCACGAAGTGGCTACGGATTGTGACGTTTCGGATTCCTATGTCGAGAATCACCATATATGGATGACGTCGTCTCTCGGCTATGTTCGGAAAATCTCCGAGTCATAATCGTCCGACCAATCAGAAAAGTGGAGTGTTTAGCGACTTGTCACGCTTATTGTTATGTATTGCGATGAATGAAGAGCCGAATGGCACCATGCTATCACTTGTGTCTAGCGCGCTGCGTTGTCGAGTTACTGAGAAACTGACAGTGAGAATGCCTCGAGTTGTTTCTGACCAAAGGGCAAAGTTTGAAAACGACGAACTGTTTAGAAAACTCAGTCGTGAAAGTGAGGTATGATGTTTTCGGCGATTTTTTCCACCCGGAAGTGCTATGATTTCACGTGTTTAAGTTTGCCAAGTTGTGTTGCTCCTCGGAATACCGTCACTAGATGCCAGGTACCGGTTGTGGTGACAGAAAGTTTTCTCATGGAGTATTTATCTGTTGCAGGTGAGGTATACGGGGTTTCGGGACAGGCCCCACGACGAAAGGCAGTTACGTTTTCACACCGAATGTCGAGAAGGGCACGCCGACGTGGTAAGTGTTTCTCAGCGTACTGACATAACCTCACTGTTAAAAAACTATATCTTTCATGCCAAGTTCGAGTGCATGCTTACTCACACATGACGCGTTCCTCCCCTACAGATAAAACCATCCCACGTTAGTTTCTGTTGTAGGGTCACGCTAGTGTTTACACTATAAACACTAAGTCTTCATTAAACCGCTAAAGCCGAGCGACTTAAGCATAAATAACAGGACAGGGGTCTGTTTTTACCACAGGTACACAGGTTCAAGGTTTACAATAACATGTTAAAGCCAATCTAAAAAGCAAGTTTAGATAAATGTGTTTTCTTTCCACCAACACTGATACAAGTTGTTTAGCATGTATGTACAAGTGTGAGATATGATGTATTATTAGCACGTTGGTCGTGACACAACCCCAGCCAAGTCACCTGGTACCACAGGTCCTTTCCTCAACTAGCTACGTGTATTTCCGTCTGTGGGGTTTTCTATGTTATTTATAATGCTGACATAAAGCGTGAACTATCGCCGGCATGTGTCTCGGCCGACGGGCCAGTGGTCCGTGTCACGGCGCTCATCACAGCGTTCAGCTGTTTAGCTAAGTCTCGGTCGCTCGACTTTCCTCGATACGTCGCCACTCCCAAATTCATATCAGTTAACTACATATATCTTGCACTGGTTGCATGTACAGTACACCCTTCGTGATTCAGTGATCTGTGAATCATCGATTCTTATCGCCGCAATGTATGTATTGTTTTCCTCAGTGAAAGTATTGAGAAGTGGCGTTTTTATCCTTGACATTAACGACAAGAAACGCATATCCTTTGTAGAATGAACACAGACACAGCGATTCCAACACCGTAAACATAGACTTTAACATTCATTTCAACACATTAGAATAACATACATGCATGACAGTTTGTTATTTCATAATATTTGACGTTGTTGTGACCAACAGGGGCGTGGTCAAGGCTAATAAATTATGAATTTTAAAGATATTGTCATATGTGTGATATATTTATGTTTTTTACTGCTAATAGGCTTTCACAGCTACGGGGACAAATCTCCAGCTGAGCTTTGCGGCCAATGCATGGTCGGATAAACCCGAGGATAGAACGCCCACTCAAGAATTTGTCAATTTCGACCGGGAGCCAGGGAAGGTTAGTCATGTAATGTTTAAAGGATACATATTATATATTTTTATTGACAAAATAACATTTCACAGAGTTCCATGCATGGGGTGTTGCATCATGTATGTTGTAAGTATAAGATCAACGCGTGTTGACATTATTCATAATACGGAAGCAATTATAGCAAGTGTATACCTGCCATAAAACGACTGCAGAAAGGTGTTGTTTTGAGACCATTGCCTAGTTATTACATGCTGTGATTTTCTTGATATTTTGTGAAGACTCGTTTCACTGGGAGAATATAACATGTAATTATACGTATGAGCTGCGAGGAACCCCTTTAGACAATCACCTTTCCGTACTATCCAACACACCCATAGTTCCACACATTCAGAGCTGAAGTCGGCGTTCATCGACAAGTTACTGAAGCGCCCGCCGTTCACTTGAATCCGCCGCGGCCGTCATGCAAACTGCTAGGCCGTGTTATGTTGCATGACGTTCTGTAGCACCGATCAGTCAAGGACGTTCGAAATATGTCAGGTAGTCATTACAGTCTTTGATTAGCAATAATTATTATTTGCATTAAAGAGAATTTCTAACAAAGAACGGGTGTGATATGTTACAAATGAAACGTTTCATGGGGCCTGGGAGAACTGGGTATATTAGCGATTGTATTGTAGACCGTGGGCTTTGCTTGTTATTCGTAACACGAACATTGACTAATGTTTAATGTGATTGACGTTGAATATTGTCGATTTCTTCTTGTTTGATGGTGTAAGCCAGCACGTGTAGCCGGATATCAGCATTATCACATCCCCCAGATTGTTGTGTAGGCGACACCAGAGGGAAACATATTCCAGTCGGTATTATCTGTACACTAATGAGTTGGTTATTGGTTTATATGCTTGTTATAGCAAGTTTGATATGTTTCATCGGATACATCTGCGGTGAGAAATTGTTATTTCTTATGACAGATGAGAATACTGTCTTTTCTGGTGAACAAATAGGCAAGGTAGGGTTTATATTTCACAGTTTCGTTTGTCACGATTCACAATTAACCAAATACGTTACCCTCGAAGGTGGTAAGTAGTGTACTGTTTGTAACACGTTGCCATGGAGACAACAGGGCAGATGTTTCCTGTTGTTTACAAATGTAACATAGCGATGCTAAAAATATGTTTTTTTTAAACACGTTTTTAATCATTTACGAAGCAAGTATGCTGTCGACGTGATTTAACCACGCCTGAATGGGGTCCCTCACTAGGCTGTTTTCAGTATCTTTAAATTCATTTCTCTTTAATTTAAATTTGATGGGTGAGAAATTATGAGGGTCGAACAAATCGTGAAATGCACACAGCTACCTGCGAGGTATTGTTCAATATTTATAGGGGGTCGATAATAGCGATTCAATTGCTGGGAGTAAACAGTTCCCAGCATATTACCCTTACATTGAAATAACACGGGTTTGTTAACTTCAAAGTTTGGATATTTACATAGCTGCGATTTTTAACTTAATCGTTTCTCGATCTGTTTCGGTCGGTGTTGTTCACGTTGATGTGAATTCGTGTTAAACAAATCGAGACTTGAAATAGCGTGGTCGCATTTCTATACCAGTGCTTCTTGAAATACACTGACTGTTGACAGACACATATTCAGGAGAATGTTTAAATAAGTGGGGGCCTCAGTTTCATCCTTGTCTTCATTCCAAGGATGATTTATAAGCTTGCCTCGTAAGCTAAATGGGTTGTTTACAATCATATTTGGGAAAAACAATCTCTGGACAGATCCTTTGTATATAGACGAGACATTGGTAATCTTATGTACAACTCCAGATTTTAGGTTTCGGTTTCAAATTCGGTTTAGATACAGCAAAAGTTAGTAAAATAGGTTTCAAGAAGTTTAAAATCATACATAACAATTGTATTACGTTTCATATTATTGTATAACTAAAAGATCTCAGTTGGACTGTGATAACATGTTTCTGTTTCACTACTAGAAACAATGCATTCTGTTACAACACGAGACGCGTATAAATATAACAAACTGAACGGAAATGTAATAGGTTTAATATAGCTTAAAAAACAGATTTGTTGTACAACTTGTTATAGCGTGCGTTCAATGTTCCGTCCGTAGGGACAGTCTGCATCATACAGTGTAACACATGGTTTATTGGTATTTAGATAGGAGTTGTAGGTTACATTTTAGTTTCGGTGGTAAGGAAACGGCGACTTCCCTCCTTTAGGAGCAGTTCTAGTGAGTCACATGGACGCTTGGTGTTAAAGGCTTGGCGAGGTGTGTGACCCATCGGCATTGCGCGTTCTCGTAGGCTGTGAAAATCGGTTACACCTACATACGACATCCTGAATTTACACGCAGTTTCACTACAGCAGAGCTCCACTGGTTAGAAATGTTTTTCACGATACACCATGTCTCAATCTGTTTGTGGGCCGTGGAGGAATTATGAATGTATGTGGCTTTTACAAAGGGATTGGTTTCCGCAGAAAGGTCCTAAAAAATCTCGACATTTCAAGCTAAGTGTGTGTGGGAAAAATGTAATTGAAATTTTAGATTTTAAATTGTCATTCAGCGTTTTGAAAAAGAATTAAGCCGACGATGCATAACACACATGTGTTAATCTCATGAGATTGGCGGGCACGTGTTGTGTATACTTCCCTCGCTATCAATCAGCTCTCATGTCAAAGCTGAATTGAAGTTTAACGCGTAAAACCTATCCCGTATAGCCCTCGTCCACCAACACCCACCAGTTCCCGCCTTTCGGTAGTACCTCAGTACAACTGTTTATCTTTTGATAGGAATAGAATATTGAAACGACACAATACCATCACTGGCTGTATCGACATAAGCAGTTTTTAAATGAAATTAATCTGAATTACCTGAAGCCTTTGAAGCCTTTGATAGAGATACGTCAGGTTTTACGGTATATGTAGCACAAGTTATTTTTGGTCTGTTCCAAGTCTGTTTTTAGTGATGACACGCAACGTAGAAGTAGATGTAAACTGGTCAGTGCGTTGAGTACGGCTGTAATCGTCGTATATGTCTATAACATTTGGATTAACATTCGTACACACATACGGTATGAAGAATGTGGCGTTGAGATGAAACGTCTTGATTCATGATCTAAGCGACCTCGAGATCGTTCCTCCCTGGGAAGGTTCGCTGCCAGTCTTGGAGGCCCACACAGTGATTTTATGAAGCTGCCTTGGATTACCCCTAAACCTCATTGACGGCTGGTCTCTCCAGCACTTGTCTTACAAGGCAAACCCCAAACAGACATAATTGTATGGCAGGTTAACATAAAGTTGTTGCATAAAGTAATGTACATATTTGGATGTATTCAGATGTAATCATAAACATACAATCTATTTAGCCATTCATTTTTGTCATTGTCATTATCAGTTCCTGGAGTTTTAATTCCAGGTTACAATCCACTTAATTGTTAACTCAAGAACCATGTAAATAGGAGCTTATCCGTCCCTATAACATCTGCAGCTTAAGCAAATTATTGTTTTTAAAGTTTAAAAATTAATATTCATTATGTAACCCAGGATATTACTGCATCTTGTTCCTTGGAGATGGAATGCAATTATTCTTTTCAAAGTTTGGGGAGGGAAATTCAAAAGGAATTTGATATGAAGGCATATTGCAGAAGCCCATTGACTGTTTTGGTCTTAAAACACTGTAATTAGAGATGCCATACTCCTTGTGCTGGCATCAGGAGTTGGAGAACACCACGAGGTGGCATTACACGGGTGCCAAATTAATTATTCAAAATTCAATTTTAAAGGAAACTCCACCATCCCAGAAAGTAACAGTAGAAACATGTAGTCACTTGAAGTGAAGCATGAAGCAGGTTGTTTTTTCTTTTGTTTGTTTCTTCACTGTTATTGTATATGTCAGTCAGAATGGAACACTGTGTGCACGCATGTCTCAAGACACATGTTTGCTTTTAATTGTCTTGCCATCAAAGGTAGACTGTAATTTAAAAGTTAGCTGCACATGAAAAATGTTTCCTACCCATGTGTGCCATAAATAATTAAATATTGTGCGTGCTGTTGTATGCAAACAACCCCTTATTGTCACTTCCATCTGTAGATTGCAATGGTTCGATTCTTGTCATGACAGTTTGCTTGTGTATAGAGTATTTTTTTAGTCAAGTTTTTTGCAGTGTTTGGAAGGGGGTCCTTGGGGAATACTGACTTAATTAAGTGCCTGTGAAACACATCCATGATCTCCTGACATACAAATTACTAAAACAGCTCACTGGTGGCGCGCCCAGTGTTAATTCCCTGTGTGGACTCTCCTTGACATAGTGTCATGCTTCAATAAGCTATTTGATACACTCTATGGAATTTGCTGATTAATTCTGATAATGAATTGTTTTTTATAAGCCCAGAACAAGCACGTTGCATGCTTGACTTGATGTTTATTTAACTGCTTGATTGTCAAATATGACAAACATATTTCTTAGTGAAAGTGTCTTCAGTGCTACACTAACTCTCTACAAATTTGGCCATCTCTGTTATCTAGCGGATAGAGCATTTTACTGAAGAGCTGATGGTTGGTTGTCATACCAAAAGGTGGTACTTGTTGTTACAGAGCCTACCATTTGGTATGATGGAGATAAAATCATGGACTGGTCGGCCGTGAATCGGTATAATGTCTCTGAATGGGGAATCCATTTAATCTGCAGAATGGTATCTTAGCACTGTTAAATGGAAATGTTGGTGTAAGTGCAATAATCTTGAACATGACCTGAAACCCCATTTCCAGCAACCTGTGTTGTTATATAGTACAAAAACATAGGGACTGTTGGCATGCATTCTCTTCAGATTTAAAGTTGGGTTAAATAAGTTTGAATTCTGCAATTGTATTAAGCAAGGAATTGTACCTGCACATAATGAATTCATTCAAATACTGTCCAATTATCTTAATTGTATTTCAAAAACAGATTTTCTAAATGAAAGAATTTTATGTTCCAATTCTATTCCAATGAAAAAGTAAACATCACA